TACAACCATCAGTTTGTGTTGATCATGTAAACAAAACTGCTGTAAATGAGTTGAAGATGACATACAAAGATGATTTAACCTCTACGGAAACTTCTAAACGAAGAGATGAAACATTGGCAATTGCATTTTATACCTGTTCTAGGAGCAAAGCTCCCAGACATATCAGTTTAGGCTTTGTAAGCTTCGAATAAAATATTTTCCACATATATTGATGTGCTTTTGCACATAGTAGCTACACTGCCGGTAACATGTCGCAAATGTGAACATTCCGCAGGTACTTTGAAAAGGTTAGAAAACTGTAATAGGAAGAGCAGAAATTCTTTGGCATTAATGCACATTCAAATTGATATCAAAGAAATATCAATCGACAAAGTTATTGATATATTTGTCAGTTTACAGCCATGAAAAATGGAATGCCGAACCCAAATGAAAGGCCTGAAAAATATTTGCCTTTTTAGCCCATGCGTTGATTCACTATAAATTTTGGTTCACTTTTCACATTGCTGGAAACAAATATTATTGCCCCATGTTATATTAAAGAAATTAAATAACGGTACCTAGAGACATCAAATTTTGAATAACATAATCTTCCACGACATCTGGCACCTTATTTGAAATTTGGGTACTTTTCCATTTCGCCGGCACAAATCTCACCAAGCAGACTTTATTGGCGACAACATACAGTATACACATAAAAATATTTTAAAAATGTTAGTTCTAAGAATTCTTTTTTTGAAGGCATAAACATTTTAATATCTCTTAAAATTTTATAAAAAGCCAATAAATAAAGACAATAAATTTGTGAAAAGACATTAATTTAAGAATTTACTACTCTTTCATGGTTCAACATCCTGATTCACCGGTTCATATCCCGTGACCCCAAGTGATCTCATCTCAATGTAAACTACTCTACAAAAACCTAATGCTTTCAGTAATTATCTACATTAATTTCAAGTTAAATCTTATCTTATTTGGAAACACAAGTTTAAATGCAAGAAATATTCCAATTCGTACTAATAGCTTACTCAGAAATATATGTAAAACTGCAGTGCTTTACTTCGCTTTATTGCATTCTCATTAGAATGGATGAATTTAACCCTTTGACTTTTGCCTCTTTTGTATTATTTTTCGGCTTCAGTAAGCGCTGGTGAGTTGCATCGTAAATTGACGTAATTTCCGAAAAATGGCACTTTAGACATAAAACTGAACTATCTTGATAAAAATTCTATGTAATTGTATGCCAGTATTGAAAGAAACAATCAATCTGATAAGAAAATGGCTTTGACTTCTGTTTGAAAATGAAGGCGTAAAAGGTTACCAGCGAGAATATTCGTTTGGAATCGGTTGTACCATTATTGGCGACTTTATCGCTTGCGCCGCCAAAACGGAAAAGTACCGAAATTTGTTTTATTATCTGTTTCACATTTTGTAAAGCATTTATGAGTTTTTAATTAAGAAACTCAACAATTTCAAAGCGAGCAATGGCAACACTACACAGCCTTCCCAAAAAATTATCTCTAGCGCGCAAGCTTATGATATACTCATTTTAAAACTATTTTGTGATATTGCTGTTGAATTGAATTTTATGGTTTAAAGGCAAAGAACATGATATTTAAAAAATAAAGCTAACACACAAAAGGTTAAAAAATGTCCCTTTGGGCGTAATATGAAATCTAAAAGCTTTCAGATATTTTTTTTCTTTTTCTTAAAATTTTTATTTGCAGTTTAATATTATGTCCAAAATAAATGATGCATTTACAATCTTTATGTATTTAATATCATTATTATATAATTATATACAACAAATTTGGATTTTATATATTTATACAGTCAAAAGTCTTTAATCCAGACTCATCAGGACGGATTATCTGTTTTTCCGGATTATAGATCATCAGTTTAAATCTGGTAAGATGGCATGCAGAAATTATAAAATTAAAAATATGAAACCGTAATTTATGAAATAAAGAGGAATTATGATCTAAAGGGTATCAAAATTTACAAAAAAAAAGCTTAATATTTATTTGTTTACTTTATTAAACATTTCTTTCAACGCACGCATACGTAAAGCATACATTACGCATAATCGAAATTAGAAAATTGCAACCAGAAAGCTATTTGATTTATATTCGTGATATTTATAATAACGAGGAATTTGATTTAAATCATATCAAAGACGGAGTACATCGAGATGAAATACTACATATAGTAAGGAATTATAAGCCGAATATAATAAAAACATCTGCCCTGAAGATAAGGATAGTGCTGACAGATCAACTTCCAGTTCACTGTGCGCCGCGACGCTCCCCCTCCCGTGCAGAGCAGCGTGAAATTGATAAACAGATTTCGGAATGGTTAGAGAAACAAAGGAGCGTTTATCCATTTTTTGCAGCAATTCCACTTTTTGTTTGATAGACATCGAAACATGTTTTCCCTTTGTAGATCCTTTGACAGCTCCAGCATCGGAAATTCTATTTGACATAATCGAAAGTTCCAACTTACTTTTATAAAATTGCTCTAACAGTCTGCAAAAAATAATAAGCCGGATCCAATTCGAAGATTAAGGAACAATGCAATCTGCAACATTAACTGAAATAGATAATTAGATAATTTTAGCTTAGCTTATACCGTTTGTTACACATTAAATGCGCATGCGTAAACGTATTATGCGCATGTGCATAAAGTTTGCAGCTTTGAGGTCCGGATTATAGATCATTCCAGATTATGGGTGTCCGGATTAACGACTTTTGACTGTAGTTTTATTATGAAATTACTTTAATAATAATTGATCTTTACATTACGGTAACTTGGCGATTTTTTGGCGACCAACTCCCGTACAGCAACCCTCTATTTTTTTTTCCCCGCCGCCATTTTGTCTTCATGAAGTAAAGACATGTTTCTTTTCTTCTTATCTACTGAACACTTCTTCCAACAATCTACTAGCCGAATTACACTTATGCTAGAAATTTTATCAAACAAAACTGCTTAATCATGACAAATATTCACTGCAAAATTCGGAAAAAGTGCACAATACCATACACCTTACGCGTTTTTCAAAATAACACATACACATAAACCATGTACACGCCGACTTATTTTTACTTAAAAAAACATCCCAGAATTGCACAAAAATGGCATTGCGCACACTCTTCACTATATCCATGTACACTGCTTTTTTTTTCTCATAAATTAGAAAAATTTCATGAAAATACATGACAATTTTCTCAATCTTTAAACCCGGTAAAAAGAACATATATGAAATTACCTGATCGCGAAAAAGTATTTACCCTTTACAAATATGAACATTTCCACATATAAAATAAATAAAATATCCAAAAACTTTTACCTCTAAATCATCTATTACATTATACACGTCACTAACGAATTCATACATGAAGCATTACAAATATTTAAATTATTTCCATGCACGTTTATTTCAACTTAATCGTAAACCAAATTCCTACAAGCATAAAATTCACAAAATAACTATCATTTCATTAAAATATCACTGAACCATGTTTCATTAAAATATCACTGAACCATGTCACTGAACATGTATGAAATTACCTGATCGCGAAAAAGTATTTACCCTTTACAAATATGAACATTTCCACATATAAAATAAATAAAATATCCAAAAACTTTTACCTCTAAATCATCTATTACATTATACACGTCACCAACGAATTCATACATGAAGCATTACAAATATTTATTATCAAATATTTAAAATTATTTCCATGCACATTTATTTCAACTTAAACATACACCAAATTCCTACAAGTATAAAATTCACAAAATAACTATCATTTCATTAAAATATAATTAAATTCAAAAAACACCACTTAAAATATACATGAGCACATACATTCAATTAATAAAAATTACCTTACAATCCTAATTACTTTAAACTAAATCATTGCTAATAACAATTTTCCCAATAATACCAAATTCCTTTCCACCTTACATTTCCAACAATGCATAAAAATCATTAAAAATACTAACTTACCTAATCTCCTTCAGAATCTTCATTACGTGGCGGATACACTTTTCTTCATTCTCTTTCAGAATCTTTAAAATCATACTTATCTTTCAAAGCAAGATACCACGTAAAATAAATAACATAATAAAACATGTTTATTTCTCTCTCACACAAACTTAAAAAACATTTCTTACTATCCTTTTCAATACCACTAAATACCCATTTCGAATTCACTTTACTTACGGCCATGGGATCCAAAAATTCACAAACACTATTTCACACAACACAGAATAAAGCCAAATACAAAATTCCCAGATTTTTCCCCATTAAAGAACAGTAATTCGTCCATTAAAATCACATGACATATCCCATGATCTCTTCCGATTAAAGAACCGTAATTCGTCCATTAATATCACATGACATATCCCATGATCTCTCATTTCCCCACACAAAATAATGCGTAATCGGAACTCAGTACTTCTGCTCACATTATTACCCAAAGTCCTAGGTAGTAACCTTTATCGCCTCCAAAATGTCGCCAAACTACCAGTTTACCATAATGTCCAAAGATCAACCATAATTTTTAATTAATTTGAAACAAAAAATATTGAGTTAAGCATTTAATATGTTTGTAAGGTAATAATCATAAATACGATTGTTAAATGAAGTATATCCATAAATATGTTGCATAATTTTATTATTAATAAAATTCATAATTTAATTATTATTTATATTAAGATAACTGCCATTAATATAATATATTAGACATATAATAATTATCTATGTACTTGAAGATGCTGTAATAGGTAGAACAGTATAGCCATAGGAGTCGCAACACACCCCCCTGGTAATTTGAGCTGGCTACGCCCATGTGATTAAGTTTAGTATGGATAAATACATATTTATCTGGGTTGGAAGTCAAGTCAATGGTTTAAACTTTTTTTTTTTTTTTTTGGAAAGATTATCAAACTAACAGTGCTTCTCGTAAGCTAGCAAATAACATGTGAGAATAAAATATACATCAAATGAAAATAGATTTTAATCATTAAATAAGGATTATCATAAACATTTAAAAATATAACATTTACATTTACCTCAAAATATTTCTGGCATTTCCTCTGCATTTCTTTTAGACAGTTTTTAGTGAAATTCTATACTTTTGCACTTATGCTTGATGTACTATGTATTAAAAATAAAACCAAAGCTATTTCATGAAAAGTAAATTTTTAAGAACTCTTTCCATAACCAACATTCTATACACATATTAGTTAATATTCGATTTAGATCAAAATAATCTTTTCAAATACATAAAAGTTATTTAAAATATAGATTTTCTAACATAATACAACTTTTAGAATATTTGTATTTAAATATCTTCTTAAATTCAGTACATTTATCTCTAACTTTTAAGGCTATAAAATAATGATAAAAAAATTTATACCTATAATTTAAAAAAAAAATTATTAAATAAAACAAACAGATTAAAACAAATGCAACATTACTTCAATCAGTAACATGAAATAAAACTAAAATGATCTGGAAAAGTTATATTCAGTTACGTATCTAATTTTGCCACAACAAAATACTTATTTCTGTTAGGAATCCTGTTTGCAAACATAAAGTGAATAAAATTCTAACACAGAATGTCTCTTGTGTTAAAAATAACAACCATAAAGTGAATAAAATTCTAACACAGATTGTCTCTTGTGTTAAAAATAACAAAAGAGATAATAAAGTTTGAAATTTTGCAGTTTCTTTTTAATTCTAAAATTGCATCATAAAAGAAATATTTCAATATGCTCTCTCAGAGAATTTCAAAATAAATTTAGGCTCCCATTTCTCATAATATTGATTTGCATAAACACTTCCAAACAAAGCATGAATAATAAGATAAATATGAGATTCCTGCTTTGATACATAAGTGTTAATGAATATAGAAAGCCAGTGCATGTCCTTGAAAATTAAAAATCATGTTTTCTTCTGGCACTTTAAACAAAAAAAAAGTTTCCTAAGGACACATTTAGTAAATAACTGTTTCTTACATTTATGGAAAAGATACTTCCCAAATGCCTTTTTATGTATGCAGATGGGATTTTTCTACAGTATGGATATATGCAAAAATTAATTTAAAGCTTTCTGAAGTTAAGACACATGTTTTCATGTCTAATCACAGAATTATAATTAAATTTTGTGTTTACATTAGAAATGCCAAGTATAATACAACACACTTACGAGGTAGAGCATTCACGTGGTTTAACCATTCTTCGAATTTCAGAAAAATAAGAATTTGAAGGTGGTAACATGAAAGTCAGCAGATTCTTCAGGAACCAGGTGTCAAAATTGAACTCTTAGTAATAGACAATGAACAGGGACTTACAATAAGACAGGGACAACAAATAAATGATTTATTACAGACAGCACTCAAATGACAAATTAAACACACCTCATAAAGACACTACCCTTCTATTATCTGTAGGCATCTTTCAATTTTTCTATCATTCATGCAATTAGTTACACATGTAATTAATTCAGAAAGTTTTTACATTTTCTGAAAATTACATATCTCACAGATATGAGCGTTTTCTCCTGAGTGAATAAGCATAAGATTGTTTAAATTACGTTTGTAAGCAAATGACTTTACATATTTCACATACATGAGGTGTCTCTCCCGTGTGAATAAGTATATTTTCATTTAAGTGCACTTTTTGAGTTAATGACTTGTTACATACCTCACCTCTCATGTGTGAATAAACATATGGTTGTTTAAATGGTGTTTTAAATAACTCTTCTGAACAAATGACATGCTACATAACACACACACATGAGATTTCTTTCATGTGTAAATATATTCATTTAAGTCACCTCTTTTAATATATCACATATACTTCATACATGAGGCTTCCTTCCTGTGTGAATAAACACATGGTTCTTTTAAACACCTCTTCTGTACAAATGACTTGTTACATAATACTTGAGGTCTCTATCGAGTGTGAATAAGTATATGTTTGTTTAAATGAGATTTTTGAGTAAATGACTTGTTACATACCTCACACACATGAGGCTTTTCTCCTGTGTGAATACGCAAATGTTCGTTTAAATTAGGTTTTTGAGTAAATGACTTCTTACATATCTCGCACACATAAGGTTTCTCTCCAGTATGAATAAGTATATGTTTGTTTAAGTGACTTTTTTGAGCAAATGACTTATTACATATTTCACACACATGAGGTTTCTCTGCTGTATGAATACGCATATGACTGTTTAAATGACCATTTTTAGTAAATGACTTATTACATATCTCGCACACATGAGGTTTCTCTCCTGTATGAATAAGTATATGTCTGTTTAAATGACTTCTTTCAGTAAATGACTTATTACATATCTCACACACATGAGGTTTCTCTCCTGTATGAATAAGTATATGTTTGTTTAAATGACCTTTTTCAATAAATGACTTATTACATATTCCACACATATGAGGTTTCTCTCCTGTATGAGTAAGCATATGTTTGTTTAAATGACTTTTTTCAGCAAATGACTTATTACATATCTTACACACATGAGGTTTCTCTGTTGTGTGAGTAAACATATGTCTGTTTAAATGACCTTTTTGAGTAAATGACTTGTTACATACCTCACACATATGAGGTCTTTCTCCTGTGGGAATAAACATGTTTTTTTTTTTTTTTTTTAAACAACTCTTCTGAACAAATGACTTGTTATATAATGCATACACTTAGGTTCCGTTTCTGTGTAAGTATGCACATGGCCTTTGAAATGACTTTTTTCAGTTATTACATATCTCATACACATGAGGTTCCTCTCCTGTGTGAATACGCATATGGTTGTTCTAACAACTTTTTCGAATGACTTGTCACATACCTCACAAACATGAGTTTTTCTCATGTGTGAATAAGCATATGGGTTTTTAAATAAGCTTTTTTAGTAAATGTCTTGTCACATGCCATCATACACATTGCCTTTCACTCCTGTGTAAATAAGTGTATGATTGTTTAAATCAACTTTTTGACTAAATGTCTTGTTACATACTTCATATACATAGAGTTGATATTTTCCAATATATGTTGTACTTAAATACATTAGAAAAACTGAGAGAGTCACTTCGGAAATATAATCAATAGTTTATCAATTGCCCATGCCGTTCTGGTAGATGTTACAATTTTAGGACCAAAAGTTAAAAGTAGTTGGTGCATGCACATGTGATGTAAAACACTAATACATATTTGAACAGAAGACATATTTAGTGTGACATACACATGGCATGGTATTTAGGAACACATTCAATAAATAATAAATTTGTTATATTTGGCACTAACATGATTTCTCACCCTAGCACTCATAAAGCTTAGTTTGTTCATGCATTGCTCCAAATTACATATAAAAGAGATGAAACCATTTTAAAACTACAACAATGTTGCCAGGAATTATTCATGAGCTACAAGAGAAGAAATAGGCTGTTAAGATATGTTCCGTGTTGTAGAAAGATCTACGACTTATTTCTGCGCCAAGTTATTTGCCATCAGCTTTTGGCCTCACCCCCAGTTCACGGGGCGTGATGTTCAGGTATTAATCTAAACGACTTTTATAAACCTCACACACAATAAACACTATGATCTCCTCCCGCAGAATAGAACTAAATGTAACGCGTTCTCAAACAGCATTAAACCACAGAACGTCTATACAATACGTATTCTTTGCATTAAACAGACAGACAACTTGTTTAGCAAAGCCTACGTCGCCGTAACTTTCTGTTCCGTACCGATGGGGCAAAGAAAGTCTACGTACATATTCTTTGTATGGGAGACACACAGACAACAGATGTCTTGTTTTGCACCCGCTAAGTCTTTCTACACTGGTGGGCGAAAGATCAAGCTTAGGTGCGAAGGAAAGGTATAAAGAAAGGGGGCATTTTTTTTCATATTTCAGAGGAGAGTAAAATGAAACTTCGTACATTTTGTATGGACGATGCTATTCGCACCACCGGTGCGATTAGCCGCTTAAGCTATTTGCACCAACATTAACCACGCATGCGCATTGAGTTGTCAGAACCGTCAATAGAACCCAATCGAAAGGAACGGATTCTACGTACGCGAACTGTTCTAGTGAACCTTTTTTTTAAAAAAAAAGTTTTAAACGTTGGCGACTTTCAAAAGTTTACAAAGGAAAATGGGTTTCTTTATTTATAAAAAGAAGGAGCTCATTTCCTTTTATTAAAGTATATATAATAAAGAGCAGATTTTTATGTTCGCAATATTTATCCTTTTCTTGAACGGTTTGAATAGTTTAAATGACTGATTTGGAGGACAAAATCTTGTTTACATTTTTTGTACTTCTTAGAATACATTTAGCTTTAAAGATGTGTTTTGCGCAATCAAGACCTTCCCATACAAAGAATTATTCCTCTTTAAAAAATTTCGTCCGATAAAAGATACAAAAAATTAGCCAGAGGATTTCTATTTAGAAAATTTAGACATGAAATAAGCTATAAGCGATTATATCAACTATTAAATTAATTATTCTGTATGTCTGCTTATTTTTTTTTTATGGAAATATTTGGCATTTTCAGAACACAGAAAGTGCTTCAAAGAATTTTGAAATATTAGTACAAACACATTAATCAATTAAATTGAAATAAATAATGGGATGTAATTTAAAAGACAGAAATAATTTAATGTAAGAGATTTTGATTTAAAAATTGGCACACACAAATGATTTATCATATTTTGTATGGTTTTATTTCATAAATAACTTTGATTTTGAAATATGGCATTTGAACCTATAAACCTGTGCGGATACTGAAAAAGTGATGAATATATAAGAATATTATCATTTTCAGTAATTTTTCTTATTGAATAATAAATTCTGATAGTCCTATGGTATAAGAATAGAGTCTAAGTTTGCATAAAATTCCTCTGTTAACCAAAAGAATTTAAGTAATTTCTGTAGCCTTTTGTCAATACACTAAAGATTTTTTAACTAATTACTCGTCCTCGCTTGCAATTAGAACCATCATTTGCAATTAGAACCATCATTAAATCGCTATTTTATCAAATCATTTCCTGAACATTCTCATGTATATAGATTCACCTCGTCTTCGTAACTGATAATTATTACTTGCAAATTATTCTCTTGCTGGTGAACTATTAACAACCCTTTCTATTGCTGAGTTAGAGTTAACAACCTTCGCTCTCACTACCGCCTGCCTTACGGAAATCGGCGTAAAACCGCAGATACCTGGGCTGACTGTGCGCATGCGCGAACGTAGGTGGTGTGAATAGCCTGTTAGCTATTCGCACCGTCGGTGCGATTAGCCACTGCGATTTTGTACGAGTTCGAAAGGTCATGAGGAAAAGATGGGCCAAAAAAAAATTAAAATAAATGGCCCAAAAAAATAGAGGAAAAGAAACGACAACAATAAAAAAAGGCCTATAGAAAGAAAAGGAAAAGAAATAGAAAATATCCTAGAATACGATTGTGTCCATGAGTGAGTCAAAAGGAGAGGAAGCAGTGCTCATTTAGAATAAATAGAATTTCACAGGTGTGTGTAGGTAGGAGTGTGTTTGGTAATGCTTAATAGACGTAATACTGGGAGGGGGAAGGGACAATGTTAAGATGTTTCGTATCAAGGTATTTAACATGGAGTACAAAGTAATATGTATGCTTGCATCCTGAGACACAACAGAAAAAGATCCATAACATCAGACAAAGTATATATCAAAGTATATATATACAAATTAAGGAGTATATGTATTAAACACAATATTTAATTCAGATCAAAATAATCTTTTAAAATACGTAAGATTTATTTAAATCATGGAATTTGAAACTTTCATAATACAAATTTTAGAAAACTTCCAACTAAGAAAAAAGATTTATTAAATAAAACAAACAGAGTAAAACAGATCCAAAGTTACTTCAATGAATTCCATGAAATAAAATTAAAATGATCTTAGAACGTTATTTTCTTTTAAGAATATAATTTTGCCAGATCAGAATACTTATTTCTATTAGGAGTCCTGTTTACAAACATCAATTGAATACAGTATAAAGTCCGTAATCCGCACTCGTCGGGACTTCAGCGATTCCGGATTAAGGGTTTTTCCGGATTATAGATCACCAGTTTAAATCTGGTAAGATGGCATGCAGAAATTATACAATTAAAAATATGAAACCGTAATTTATGAAATAAAAAGCAATTATGATCTAAATGGTATCAAAATTTACAAAAAGAAAAGCTTAATATTTATTTGTTTACTTTATTAAACATTTCTTTCAATGTAATTTGTTTAAGTTGCTTCGCTTTTTGTGCTAAACGCGCATGCGTGAACATTAAATGCACATGCGTAGCATTAAACGCGCATGCGTAAAGCATACAAGAAAAAAGTTTGTGGCTTTGAGGTCCGGATTATAGATCATTCCGGTTAATGGACGTCCAGATTACAGACTTTGTACTGTATAATTCTAATACAGAATGTCTTCCGAGTTAAAAATATCAAAAGAGACAATAAAGTATGAAATTTTGCAGTCTTTCGTATTCTAAATTTGCATTATAATAGAAATATTTCACGATGATGTCTCAACGAGTTTTAAAATAAATTTATGCTTCCAATTCTCATAATGTTGATTTGCACAAACACATCCAAAAAAAGCAGGAGTTATAAGATAAATAGAAGATTCTACTTTAGTACCTAAGTATTAATATACAGAAAGGTATATAGAATACGAGAGTATTCATAATGTGCATGCTGTAGCTTGTAAGTGGTATAAGGATAATAAGGTAATACTATATGGTATAAGAAGGTATATAGAAAGCGAGTGTGTGTCCTTTAAAATTTAAAATTATATTTTCTTCTGTCACTTAAAAAAAAAAAAAAAAAAAAAAAGTTTCTTAAAACTCAATTTAGTAAATCAGTGTTTCTTACCTTTATAGAAAAGATATATTCCAAATGCCGTTTATTATGCACATGTGAGTTTTATACAGCATCGATATATGCAAAAATTAAGTGAAAGGTTATTGAAGTTAAGAAACATATTTTCATATCTAATCACAGAACTATAATTAAATTTTGTGTTCACATAAATAGAGCCAAGTTTAAGACAATCCACTTACAAGCTATAGCATGCACATTATGATTAAATATTTAACAATGATGGTGGTAGCATGAAAGTCAGTAGCTTCTACAAGAACCAAATGACAAAATAAAACTCTTAATGGTAGACAATGAACAGGGACTTAGAAGTATAAGCATACCTGGAACATTTGCACACGAAAAAGGAATTTATGTATTGATACAATGACCTTAGCACGATTTTTTGATTTTTTTTTACACATGAAAAGTTAAAAGTTGCTTATCAGATGCAAGCTGGTGGTTTCTTGTGCATTTATATCACAAAGATTTCCAAGCTGTTGATATTTATTGTACGTTTGTAAACATTATCAATATATGAAAAGAAAATATACTTGAAAATACCAATTTGAATTATTAAATAAGGATTAAGTGATGCATTAAAAAAATAAAACACATTCTTCAAATTTTTCTATTATTATTTTGCACTTTTCTCCTCCTCAAGTGTACAGTGATCTGTTTTTACCTTAAAAAATGGAAGAATTACCCAGAATCAGGATTGTACAGCACTCGGCTATCGAGAAAAAGCATTTCATCATTGTTCCATTTAGAAAATTTTCAGCAACATTCTGTGTTCCTCCAGAAATTTTACCGCAGTATTTTCCATTGCCTGTAAATTCAGGAAGGCCGTATTTTAAAACTAACATAAAGGCAAAAATATATCATGATTTATGAGTAAAAACTGTGGGACTTTGGAATACAACAAAAAAGATTCACATAAAATGAAGGAATTATTTAAGCAAAAAATTGTTATGAGCATGGTTCCTGGAAGAATGATTATGAGCATAGTTGCCAAAATTTTGCATATTCTGAAAATCTGGCAAGTTCTACTAAAGTAGCTGCATTAACACGTAAGTAACAGAAAAAAACCTTACTTCTCCAAAAAAACTGATTTCGTTCAAGACACTACAAGCTGTATACTGTGTAGGGTTTATATTTATTTTAACTAACATTTATTTTAAGTTTAAACTATCTTTCCTGTCAAGCCTTACTTTCCCCTGGAATTGCCAATGCCAGAGTATGTAAATTTTAGTAGAACGCGCAAAGTATTCAAAATTGTCAGCGGAAGTAATCTGTGTTAAATAGAAGGGAAACAAGTGTGCTTTCTTGCTTCACGAGCGTGGAGGTGGCTAGTTAGAAATTGAAGAACCACGCGTTTCGGCCTGTGTGCTTGCCTCGGTAGATAGTTAAATCTTTCAACGTAATATTCAGAAGTTTGCTGAATTGTCAGCGGTATCTTAGAACGTGGTTAGGTTAGTTACGTTTTAGAGAGCCTGGTAGGTAGTCACTTGTTATTATTCATTTTCAGTTTCTTATTTTTATTTTAAGGCCGGGTCGGCGTAGTTTGTGAGCGTCAAGAGCACGCATCTGTAAATTCTAAAGTTGAATAAAAAGGGATTTAAACTCTTCTCAAGACTTTGTATACTTTCCAGTTCATAACAGTCACCACTATTGTTGCGTGCAGGTTGGAAGCGCGCAACATTATATTGGCGCCCGAACACTTGTCGAACTGAAACGGCCGAAAACTGGATGGAAGCTGCTGGACAACAACAAGAAATGGCAGGCCAATTGGAAGGATTTGGATACCTGGTCCAAACGATGAGAGCGTCAATCAAGCCAAACGTCAATTTCGACGGAAAAAATTCGGTGGCGATATTTCTAGAAAGCCTCGAAAATCACTTCCAGCTCTAC